CTAGGAGCATTGTTGTTTTGTTCTTTTAACATTTTTGCTAGATTGATGGCTGAAAAAACAGGGTGTCTTCTGAATTTGATACTACTTCTTTACCAGTGGGCTTAGGTTATTTTTTAGAATTTTTAAAATTTATCTGTGTTTTCCCTTTGGGGTTTGTCCTTGTCCATTTAGACCAAATCATTTAAAATTTATGTTTTTTAAAAAAATTTTTTAGTTTGCTTGTGATCTCTTTGTAATTATGCATTAATACTTAACATATCTGCAAATATTTTTAGTGTTTGCCTTTAACTTTTCAAATATATAGTCAACTTTTTTTTTTTTGAGACAGAGTCTTGCTTTATTACCCAGGCTGGAGTGCAGTGGCACTATCTTGGCTCACTGCAACCTCCACCTCCTGGGTTCAAGTGATCCTCCCACCTTAGCCTCCCAAGTAGCTGGGACTACAGGTGTGTTCCACCATGCACAGAGGTAAACATTTTGTATTTTTTTTTCTTGTGTAGAGATGGGCCTTTGCCATGTTTGCAGGCTGGACTCAAACTCTTGAACTCAAGCTGTCTGCCAGCTTTGGCCTTTCAAAGTGCTGAGATTACAGGCGTGAGCCACCTTGCCCTGCCTAGACAATAATTTGATGACTTATGTGGTTGCTTACTTTTTGTGTCCTTCTGTAAAAGTCAGAGGTACAAGTTTATAATGTGGCAGTACACTGAAGGAAATTTTAAGAAGACCATTTCCCTGAGTTGTTAAATAAAAAGGCTCTAATAGGTATGTACTGTTCTGTGATTCAAAGATAGAATTTAGAGTTTCTAGAGAGGTTGGATGATAACATGTCTTAGACCATTTTCTCTGTCATTTTTTATAACTTTTTTGTGTAAGAGCTAGACAACATATAGTACTGATGTGCTTTGGGAATTTGTGGAATAGTTATGATACTGAGTAGATGATATTGAGATACTGTGATGGAAATTGATTACAACTATTGTTCTTTTCTGAACAGAAGGCTGTGCCCACTTTCACATCTGTAGGCAAAATCAGAATTTTTCTAGTTTTCCCAAAATTGTATTGAAGTTCTCCAGAGAAACAGAGCCAATAGGATTTAATTAATTAGTTAATTCAGATTTGGCTCATAAGATTATGGAGGCTGATAAGTCCTAAGATCTGGGGGGTGATTTGACAAGCTGGAGATCTAGGATTGTTGATTGCATGGTTCCAGTCTGAAGATTGGCAGGCTCATGCCCCAGGAAGAGATCAGTTCAAGTTTGAAGCTGGGAAAAAGCCAGTGTTTTAGTCAGAGGAGATCAGGCAAGAATGATTCTCTTTTGCTTAGGGAATGGTTAGCTTTTCTTCTGTTCAGGCCTTCAGTTGATTCAGTGAAGCCCACCCACATTATGGAGGGTAGTCTGCATTATCCAGTTGATCAATTTGAATGTTGATCTCATCCAAACACCTTCACAGAAGTAATGTTTGACTGCATATCTAGGTACCCCATGGTCCTGTCAAGTTTGTCATGTAAAATTAACCATCATACATATTTGACACTGTCTAAGAGTTCCATACAATATGGATAAACTGAGATTATTTTATTCTGGAAAAAGAAACCTAAAACTGTTGTTGACATATATTTGTTTTTGTAATCCATGAAAAACCTCAATAGTGCTTTCATGAATTGTCAGATTCTGAGCAGCCTGGCTGCTGATATGTACTCTAGGATGAGCTCACGTTTCAGTTAGAATGATTTTTTACTCTGCATCTCAGGAGTCTTCAAACTGGCCCCAGGCTACCTCTGATTTGTCACCTGTTTTTATAAATAAAGTTTTATTACAACATAGCCACACCCATTTTACTGTCTACAGCTCATTTAGACTTAAGTGGCATAACTGGCTAGTTGAGACTGAGATTGAATGGCCCACAAAGCTGAAAATATTTACTATCTGGCGCTCTACAGAAAAAGGATTTGTTGAACTGTTTTTCTGGGAATAATTATGCAAGACTAATGACTGAAGGTTTTCCTAGCTTGTGATAATAAGACTATAGCATTAGTGTATGTAGTGGGGTTTTGCTCCCTATTACTGGAGTAAAAGAGTGAGTGAGTGAGAGAGAGATTGATTATTTCCTTTTAATCTATAAATGGTTCATTGGCGAAGACTTGTCAACAATAGAGTGGAGGTGTGTTGTGGGCTCTAATGGAGCATTATTGTATACTGCTCAAAATAGTTACATTGCCTAAAAGCAAGGATTTTAATTTTAGCCATTTAATACAGGTTTTGTAAAAATTGTTACTAGCAGTCTGAATTTATGTGTCTTGATCTATAGCTGGTTTCTAACCTCAGTATCAAATGTTGATGTAATCTGCAAATCAGTATACGTACTTTCCAGCATTTCCCCACACAAATTGGGAGAATGAATAAAATAGTAACCAATGATGGAGTAAATCTTCTTGTAATGTATTTGTTGCTTTAGTAAAACATAGTCAGTGTTAGCATTTAGATATAGAGCTCCCCAAAGGTTTTTTCCATGTCTGTAAATATACAAACTCTTCTCCAGCTATGGAATCATACGGTGTATACAGCTACATAAAATGCTTCTCTTCCACATATACTTAATATATTTTGGATGTTCTTCCATGCTTAAAAATAGGTTGGTAAAATCATTTTTAGTATGTAAATATTATCCAACTAATTAACAGTATGTATTTGTTCATAGGCTTTTCCTTATTTTAAGCAGTGCTGTCAGGAATGTCCTTGTACTCATATTTTATACTTGTCTGATATTTACTTAGGATAAACTCATAGTAGAAGGTCATGTCTGTGTTGAAATTTAGATACCACTTTCCAGTTTGCTCTTTAGAAAGGTTGTACCAATTTGCAAGGCCACAAAAATATATGAGCATACCTCTCACTTGGCTGACACCAGTCTTTCTTTTGTCAACTTGATAGTTTTTAAAATCCAGAAAATTTTGTGTTTTTTACTTCTCCCATTATTAATGAGATTTGGCATCTTTTCTTATCTTTATTTTCCATTTATATATAGTCCCAGCCTATTTATGCTATTTGCTGGGTATTAAAAAAAATTACCCAGTTAATAGGTTTGCACTTGTGAGAGTAAACTGGTTGCCATTTTTGATAATGGTTTAGACACAACTTTGAGTTCATTTAGATGGGATGTTACCTGATTGAAAAAAACATTTTGATGTAGATTATAGATCACAGATCAGAATTAGAATAGATCTGGTGACAGAACACCTTCCTCTGGTGCTTTGATGTGAGTGTTGAATCACATAAATTGAAAAGTCTCATTCAGAGAGAAGTCTAGAAGCTACAGAGCTTTAAGTGGTTGTTCTGGACCTCAGAGCTGGTAAAAGTTTCTCTTTGGCCAATATTTTTCCGTTTTGATTTGTTAATTTAAATGTATAAGGCTTTTAAGGCTGCTTGTATACTTTATACATCTCTAAAGCCTAAATTTAATTGATAAATTGCATTTAAATAAAACTTTAAAGTTTTATTAAAAATGTTTTAATAAAATAATATTAAAATGATAATGTTTTGTTAAAAATGAATTATAATGTTGAACTTAATATGATAGAAATAGCTTCAGGTCTGGTTTTATTAATTGGTTTATATGTTTTGATTTTAATATTATAGAGAACAACTATTCCTAAAAGTGTAGCTAAAAAAAAAAAAAACTGGTATAATTAACTTTATGTACTTTTGTTGTTTTGTTACCCTTATGTTTAAACTGCCAGAAGGCATTCCTTACATGCCAGTTTCAATAGGGTATCACTTAATAATTCTTTAAAACTATCTTGTTTCAAATAATGGTAAGTAACCAATGATGTCATTTGCTCTTTACTTAGAAGCATCTGCTATTGCAGCCATAAAACACAAATGGGGACATTGAATTATGTGATAAATCTGTTTAAGGTTGCTATACAGATACGGGAGCATTGAAATTATGTGGAAATAATGTTTTAAGGTGGCTATTCAGATCATCTGTAATGTGTGTTAAGAGCTGTCATGAAATGACAAGCCTAAAATTCATTTAGGGATACTTCTTAATTTTCATGAATAATTCTGTAATCCCCAAATTTAGACTCATTGTGTTAGGCATTAGTAAAGATTTGTACTTCTACAGGTTTTATATCAAGTTTAACAAATTTAAAATTTCTCTTTCTAATTATGGTACAGTAACAATTTCTAGGTGTTTATTTCTGCATCTAACTTGTAACAAATAGTACACATTGGCACTGGTCCATGGATATCCTTTGAGTAGCATTGTACTAGAGAATAAAAGAATTTAAGTAATGGGTAAAACAGAAAAAGTCAAATAAAAGTTAAGTAAAAATGGTTAAGTGAAAATAAACATTGAAAGAACAATGAAAAACCTTAAAGTAGCTAAAAAATATTTAAATTAAAAGGACAGATCAAGCATTGAGTAGGAAAAAGCTGTGCTATTAAATTGTTATTATATAATAATTAAGGAAATAATCCAAATAAAATGATGTAAAAGAATTTAAAAATTTTAAGTGATGATTGTAGACAAAATTTAGTAGACATGTAGTAGAAAAAATGGATCGTTTTCATATTCCATGTGGATATCCTATTTATATTATCATGCATTATTATTGAATTTTTCCTGAGTTCTGATGCTCAGTTAATGCATGTATGTGGAATCACAGATGCCTACCTATCAATTATTCTAGAGCAGAGGGCTGACATTTGAAGATAAGTAGATTTAACATTTTTAATAACACAGTAGTATGTCTTTAAAAGTTTAATGCCCAGAAGCAGAAAACAGTTCTTCAGCTAGAGGAAGCTATTTAATCACACTTAATTGATATATGTGTGATATATAAGTTTATTTGGTTAATTTTATTGATCATTTTTAATTATTTTGGGCAGAAAGATATTTTATATCTTATGTGTATTTTCCACAAGGTAAAAAAAAAATCTTCTGCCTACTCAGATATTATATGTGTGTTAACTGTTGGATATTTCCCTTTTTAGGCCCAGATTATTCATCAGTATGGCTACCTGGTAATGAATCATTGTGGCAGGCCACAACTGTTCCATCTAACCATCGAAGTAACCATATCAGGAGACACAGTATAGCTTCTGACAGTGGAGACACTGGCATTGGAACTTCCTGTTCTGATAGTGTGGAAGGTGAGCTAAAATTCTTACTGTTTATATATGAATCTTTGAAGAGTGGTTGTGATATAAGAATATTTAGGGGATGTGTTTTATTGTTTCATATTGAAAATTACAGTGTTTGAATATTTAATAATGTTCAGTGTTGCTGTATATCAAATAAAATTTGATGAATTTGGTGTTTCATACTGAAAATTATAGTGTTTGAATAGTTAATAATGTTCATTGTTGATATATATCAAATAAAATCCCTCTAGTCATATTAGAGTTTTTTCTTCATCTTTTTAACTAAACTTCTTATTTTGAGATGCAGATTTACATGTGGTTTTAAGAAATAATAGTGTTGTAACCAGGATATTGACATTGATATAGCTGAGATTCAGAACATTTCCATATACCTTATGTTGCCCATATACACTTCTCTCTCTCCCTGCTCTCCTCTACCCCCTTATCTCTTGGAAGCCACTTTACTCTCAATTTCTATAGTTTTGTTTTTCAAGAATACTTTATAAGTGGAGCCATAACCATATACAGACTTTTGAAATTGACTTTCTTCTCTGGATTTTCATCCAGTTGTTTGTTACATGTATCAACAGTCCATTCCTTTTTATTGATGAGTAGCATTCAGTAATGGTGGTATTAGAGAGAATACACTTCGAATACACTGTGAAGTCATGTGTACAGTGTTTATTTCTGCCAGCAGTGATGTATGAGAACATATGGAATATTGAAAACTAGGTAAGCTCATCTGAGCCTTGGTGTCCAGGGTTTTTTGGTAGGTGGGTATGTAGGTGTGGTTGACTGCCCTCATGGATGACCTCAGTCTGCAGCTGATACCATTTGGTCCAAGGCCCCCACCATCAATCACATTATTAGCATAGACTATATGGAGTGGCCTAAAATCCCCAGGTAAAGAAAGACTTTCTTACTAGGCAGGACATTCCAAGAGCTTATTACCTCCTAGGAGCTGGGCAAAGGCCACATCTTTCTCAGAGTATGCAAGGTATGGGAAACTCAATATGTGAGACATAGACTGAGGTTTTTTTTTTTGCCTTATTACTTTTTGGGTAGAGTTGTATCTACTGTATTGTTTTTCAAAATTGTTTTAGCTCTTCTAGTTCCTTTTCCTTTCTGTATAAGCTTAGAATATTGAAGTCTGGGTATTTGGTTAAAAAAAGAAAAAAAATAAGCTTAGCATAATCAGGCTACTGGAAGTAACACTCATAAAAATTATGAGTTTGTACAAAAAAGAATACAAACAAATCTTCCTGGGAATATGATACGAATTGTATTGTCTATCAGATTGGGGAGAATTTCATCTTTTCTTGGTGAGTTTTTCAGTCTATGAATATGGTTTGTTCTTTATTTATTTAGATTTTTTATTTTGCTCACCAGTGTTGTATAGTCTTTAATATATATTTTCTATACATATGTTGTTAAATTTATACTGAAATATTTTGTTTTTGGAGTGATTGTAAGTGGTATTATATTTTCAGTTTTGTTGATGTTTTATAGAATCTAGAAATAAATTTAGAAATACATTTATAATATAGAAATAGATTTGCTTTTTAAAAATTAATTATTAATTAATTAATTTTTCTGAGATGGAGTTTTGTTCTTGTTGCACAAGCTGGAGTACAATGATGATCTCTGCTCGCCGCAACCTCTGCCTCCTGGGTTCATGCAATTCTCCTGCCTCAGCTTTCCTGGTAGCTGGGATTACAGGCATGTGCTACCATGCCTGGCTACTTTTTGTATTTTTAGTAGAGATGGGTTTCTCCATGTTGGTCAGGCTGGTCTGGAACTCCCAACTTCAGGTGATCCACTGCCTCAGATCAGTTTTGGCAGCAGTTCGTTGATTTTACTGATCTCTACCAAGAGCCATCTCTTGGTTACATTAATTTTCTCATTTATTTTTTGTTTTCAATTTCAGCGATTTCTGCTCTTTGTTATTTCCTTTTTTTCTGCTTGCTTTGGGTCTGTTGAGCTCTTCCTTTTTTTAGGTCCTTGTTAGCAGGTTCGAGAGTTTTCCCTTTTTAAAATATGCTATTTTAAAATTTTCCTCTCAGAAATGCTGTAGGTGTGTCCCACTAATTTTGATATTTTATATATTCATTTTAGTTCAGTCCAGTGTATTTTTCGTTTTTTTAATTTACCTTATGTCTTGCTCTTTGCATCTCAGGACTGTAAGTGTGTTGTTTAGTTTCAAAGTGTTTCGAGATTTTCCTGATGTCTTTCTATTATTAATTTCTAGTTTATTTCTGTGTGGCTAGAAACACTTCATGTGATTTCAGTCCTTTAAATTTGTTGACATTTGAGGGCCCACTATATAGTATATTTGATATAGGTTTTGTGGGTACTTGGGAAGAAGGTGTATTCTGCTGTTATAAGGGGGAGTGTTCTCTAAATGTTGATTAGATTTTGTTGATGTTGAGTTCTGTATACTTGATGATTTTCTGTCTAGTTTTTCTATCAGTTGAAAGAGGAGTATTTAAAAGTCTACAATTATAATTGTAGATTTGTTTATTTTTTCATTTCTATGTTTTTGCTTTGCAGCCACATTGTTTGGTGTGTACACATTTAGAATTGCTATTACTTCTTGGTGGTTTGACCCTTTTATCATTATATAATGTCCTTCTCTGTCTTTGGTATAATTTTTTCTCTGAAGTTTACTTTATCTGATATTATATAACCAGCATGCTTTTTTTGATTAGTGTTTACATGGCATATGTTTTATATCCTTTTACATACAACCTATCTATATTATTGCTTGAGATAAATGATTTGTAACAGCATATAGTTGGGTCATGGTTTCTAATTAATCTGCTGTGCCAATTTCTATCTTTTAATTGGTGTATTTAGATCATTTACATTTAATGTAATTATATGTTAATACTTCAGTCTTTCCATTTGTTCTCCATTTCTGTTTTCATTTTCTGCCTTCCTGTGGGTTATATGAACATTTTTAGAATTCCATTTGGGTTCATCTGTGTTTTTGAGTGTCTCTCTTTGTATAGTTCTTCTAGTGGTTGCTTTAGGTATTTTTATATACATTGCTCTTGGTACATTATGTATATACATGTATCACAGTTTACTGATGTTATTTTACCAGTTTGAATGGAGTTGAGAAATCTGACTTCTTTTTATATCCCTTTACCCTCCCTCGTTTATAATAAAATAGTTTCACATATTCCCTCTACATACATTTATAGTCACATCAAACAACTGTCAAACATAATTTAAGAAACTCAGGAGAAGGGAAGCCTATTTTATTTATTCATATTTTTTTCTTGTGTTTTTTCTTCCTTTGTGATGCGCCAAGGTTTCTTTTGTTACTTTCTGTTTAGAGAATCTCCTTTAGTCATTCTTAATTCTTTTGTCATCTCTGATGACAGATTGTCTTAGTTTTCTTTTATTTGAGAATGTCTTGACTTCCCCTTGATTCTGCAAGGATAATTTTACTGGGTACACATTTGTAGTCTGACACTTCTTTTCTTTTACCACTTGAAAATATTTTTCTACTTTTTTCTGGCCCCTGTGATTTCTGATGACAAATCTGCTGTCATTTGAATTGTTTTGTGCCCTCCCTCCCCCATTGTAAGTTGTCATTTTTTTTTTTCTGGCTTATTTCAATATTTTTTTCTTTTTCTTCAGTTTTTAGAAATTTAATTATCATGTGCCCTTGGGTGGATTTCTTTGGATCTTGCAGTTGAAAGTGATGGGGTACTATCTCCTTATTGCCAGGTAGAGATAGAAGTCCAGGTTCCCCACATGGCCTTGCTGATACCTGAGGATGAGGTAGAGTACCTTGTTACTGCTGGGTGGGGGTGGAAGTCCAGGATTCCCAGATTATCACCACTGACACCACATTGTGGGTTGCCTTATTATTACTCAGTGATGGTGAAAGTTTTCAGTCTCTACTAGACCTCCTCTGATACCACCTAAGGGTAGAGGGGAAGGAGGGGGTGTACCATATTGCTGATGGGGTGAAGGCCCTGTCTCCCTACTTGGCCTTCTTGGATACTACTGTGGTGGTACTTTTAGGGTGCATTATTATAGCCTGGCAAGTTTAGAAGTCTAGACACCCCACTTGGCTTTTGTTAGCGTGGGTGGGAGTTCCCAGAAGGTAAAATTAGTATTATTAATTTGATGAAGAGTTTGAGCTGCATTTAAAACCTGCTATTACTTATTATAGTTATCTGTACAACCTTGAATAATTTCTCACTTCTTTGAGCCTCACTTTTTAAAAAATATCTAAATTGAAGATAACTCTGTGGTGATTTGATACGATGACTTTTAAGTAGCTTAGCACAGTTTTCATTATTATCAGTGCTCAAGAAGTGACTCTTGTTCTCTTTCCTCGCTCCCTTATGTTTTTTAGTGTCTCTCTTCTCATTTTTTTCTCCCTGGAAATGTTCTCTAACTGACTTATCTGGAGTGGTATTTCTATTGCCATCCTCACAATTTTGTGCCCCCTTGTTTATTTTTGGGGCTGTTTATTGTTTGTATCATAGGACAGGAACTAGTATGTACTGAGTGTTCAATTTTGTTGAATGAAACAGTGGATATGTAGACTCTCAGTTAAGGTTTCTGTTTCGGCCAGGTGAGGTGGCTCATACCTGTAATACTAGCACTTTGGGGAGGCTGAGGTGGGCGGATCACCAGGTCAAGAGATCGAGACCATCCTGGCCAACATGGTGAAACCCCGTCTCTACTAAAAATACGAAAATTAGCTGGGCGTGGTGGTGTATGCCTGTAGTCCCAACTACTTGGGAGGCTGAGGCAGGAGAATCGCTTGAACCCTGGAGGTGGAGGTTGCAGGGAGCCAAGATTGCGCCACTGCACTCCACCTGGGCGACAGTGCAAGACTCCATCAAAAAAAAAAAAGAGTTCCTCTTTCTACCTACGTTTTTATTCGATCCTGGTTTTGTACTTGGTATTTCTGAGGTTGTAGTGTTGCATTCTTCTGTTCTGCCTCAATATTTAACACCCTTTGTTTTCTATTGTCAGGAATT